GTTCGCAAAAATGGACGAGGGAATTCCTAAAGGAAATGGCTGAATAATAATAATAATAATAATATCATCATCATCATCATCATCATCATCATCATCATCATCATCATCATCATCATCATCATCATCCAGAAGCTAGAAACAAGACTGATACCGGAATTGATTGTTTTCTGTTGAATTAAGCGCATCCCAAAGCAAGCTTAAGCTAAGGAAAGGCGAGGATTTTCCCTCTCAAGCTGCAAATGTTCCCGAAGCCATTTTAATTTTGGATGGAGGCAGGGACCGAGAGTTCTGCCCAGCGCTGTAGGAGGAGACCGGCAGTCCTCAGCCTGACTGGAGCTTCCTTTCGTGTGAGCTGCTTAGGCGCATCCAAAGAATAGCCACAGCTGTCTCCTCCCCACCTCTAGTTTTTTCCCATCTCCTATTTTTCGGACCATGTCCAGAAATGACCACTGTCTGCGAGCGGGCGAGCAACCACTTGCAGCCTCTGACAAAATGCTCCGGCCGAACGCTGCCACCTCGTTCCATATTTTTAGCCTTCAAAAGCGGAATACTTTGATCTTTTCCTATCTGTATGTATATGACTTCCACGGAGAGGGCAGCTTTCCAGCTTCAACGGAAAACTGTGAAACTGATACCTGACAGACTAGCCAGAGGATCAGGGCAAAAATAGATTGGAGTTTGGCAACGATGTGGCCAAAATTCGGCCACACCTGTCCTTGGCAGACAAGCTAAGCGCCTGAAGCCCAGCAGAGCGCCGGGCACGCTAACTTGGGAAGGCCGTTGAATTTGGGGAAAGGCGACTCCCCCAAACACGGGAATAGCGGAAGGGAGAAGCAAAGTGGGGCGCGAAAGTGAGTTTGTGGAGGACAACCCAAAGAAGACCCGTGACACGCAGCTTCTCTTCATATCAAACCTTTTCACTCTTTCCAGCCCTGCAGTATCCTTCCTTCTGCCTACCTGCCACCTCCTCCCATTTCCTTCTGATTGCGGAAATACAAAAAACCAAGCGAATATTTAAAAATCCTCCTCCCAGGGGACCCTCTGCCCCGGCCTTGCCTGAGCCTGCAGCTCTTTCCTTGGTCCTAAGAGTTCGCTTGACGTGCCATCCTGACCTAAGAACTGCTCCCCATCCCAGAGTCGCTTGGAGGCCAGCTTGGCCCAGCCTTTCATTCCCTACCTGGTGAAGACATCTGGGTAGTGTGTCTTCTGGAAGGCCCTCTCGAGCTCCTCCAGCTGGTAGCTGGTGAAGGTGGTGCGGTAACGGCGTTGCTTCCTCTTGAGCAGCCCCTCCTCGGAATCACTGCCCGCGGACAGGCACACGCTGTCCTCGCCGTCCTTGCCGTCGGCCAGCTCGTCGGTAGGGAGCAACAGCTCCTCCTTGGGCGAGCCGCCGGCACCCTCGCCTCCCACCGCTGCAGGCCCCACGCCAGCCCCACCCGCGGCCCCCGCGCTCCGGCGGGCGTCTTTGGCCTCGGCCAGCAGTTCGTCGTCCTCATCCAGCTCCTCATCCAGCTCCTCGGCCTCCTCTTCCTCCTCTTCCTCCTCGTCCTCGTCCTCCTCATCCTCATCCAGCAGTTCCTCCTCCCGGCCCGGCCTACTGTCGGGGCCGCTGCCACCTCCAGGACTGCTCAGGTCGTCGAGCGCAGCAGCAGTTCGCGCAAAGGGCGCGTTCTCCCGGTAGGACTTGCTTCGGCTGATGCTGACCTGTGGCGCTTGGCTGATCTTGAGAGAGTCCCACGACGAGGCGCTTGCCTCGGCCCGCGC